GTTTAACTTTTACAAAATGCGATATAAATATTCGGTTTCCTGTGTGATTGTCTGCCATTTATGGGCATCTGTCCTAAGCCCAAAATTGCATGAATTTATGCATTATTTTCTATTGCATTTTTACAGTTCCGCCTGGTGCTTGCGTATTTGCCTCGCGAAGTTGATAATAATAATATGATCATATGCAAGGCTGGATCTCTTTGTAAATGATTGTTTGCGACGCAATATGGTTATCCGGATGGAAACCTTTGTGCTAGACTAGTGATAGATCCTGTTAATTTGCCTATGTCGGATAATTTCTCGATTTCCCACCTGAATACTCTGTTCGCAATCTCGTTAAAGTAGCGGCAAAATACTTTCCAACGTAATTTGTTTCGGCAAGTTATTTGAAACAAAATGAAATGTTGTGTTGAACTGATTTGTGAGTCGATTTTCGGTTTGGTTTTTAGAATCCCTCAAAATAATGATTTCAAAAAACAATGACAAACTGAAAACACTACTCTGTCGCAGCGTGTTTAAGAAAACGATTTTACCGTATCGCTAAACTCGCATTTTTCTGGTAGTGAATAGATTTCGCAGCCTCGCTGCTCGTCGAAGGAGCCTTCTGTTCGTCGAATGGCTTGTCATCAAGGCAATGCTCGAAAAACTCTTGACAAACTATTGCACACCCGCAGGTGGCAAAATTATTCTGTTCCCAACAGAAATGCGATGCGCACTGGTGTTGCCAGCTTCTAGGCCTGTGTCAATCACGAATCAAAAATATTAATCTTGAGGGCGTCCAATATTTAGAAGCACAGAGTGCAATTAACATGAGCGCTGTATTTACACGGAGTAGCCCTTCAGTCACGCATGATCATGCCAACTGGAGGACGCATCCCCTACTAGAATAGTTTAAATAATTCTCTATGTTCATAGCAAAACTACTGCGCTTCGGTAGCGTAACCGAAAGCGAGGGGGCTATCAATGGGTCTGAGTGTTCAAACGGTAAATACGGCCATTCAATGCCTGCGAATGACATTACGGTGCATCGTGCATCGCCATGCTTTCATGGTTCGCTGCCTGTGCCTAACTAGGGGCCTCGATGCGACTATCGATCGGCCGAGAGAGATGGTTGCCCGACCACACCAGTGAGCTTGTCCAACTGTTTGCTTGGCCCATGGGATTTAGCAAACGCATGTTAAGGACCATCCATTTCACCAGGAGACCGGGCGATGTCAACCCCCCTCCTTCACTTGTAACTGCATGAGTTCTGCATTTCCTCTTATCCGTTATAAGAAATTTTCTGATTATTAACTTATGATTTGCTCAAAAATTAAGCTCTTTGTTAAATGACGGCCTGCGGGTAGCAGGTCTGCTCTTTACTACAACAGTTTAATAGTTATTTCTTTTAGTATTACTTAGAAAACACAAACAGTGCGAAAGGTGGTCTCTTCGATGGGATTGTCTTGTACAAGCGGAGATATGGTGATGGGTTTTATAAAACAACCTTGACTGGCTGGTATATTTTACATTTTTGCGATGCGTGTACCAAAATATCCATCTGGTATTAATTTAAGGGAACATCTTGCAAGTGTTCAAGTTATAGATGACTGTAAAGCAGTCTCTTAATCTTGGCAAACTACACCAAGCAGACTTCACGTTGGCTTTTTAGTAACAATTCAAAATGAGCGCGTTAATTTACTGCCTCCATTTACTCCATTCACTTGACCCGCACTGAATTGGATCGCATTTCAGTTTTTCTCCTTAGATGTCTATCTTACCGAAATATCCGTCTGTTTTTTGTTTCTGTACCTCCAGATCGACAAGGTGCATTACTGTTTTGAAAACAAAGATGACCAATAATTTGTTTTGTACTAGAGGCGAGATGACCTGCCTTTTCGTTTCTCTCTCGCTCGTACGCCCCGCCCACGTTGATCCCATCATGTTCTAGTAACATTTTGTTGGGCTAAAAAGAACTGGGAATAAGGGTGGACGCGGTAGACAAACATGCTTTTTTCTCCATATCCTGTGCCACCAGAACCTTGGTCTCTCGTGCAGCACGAACCAAACAATATGCAGGGAATCTCATATCTCTAGGATTCTCTGAGACGCTACAGCCTGGCCCCCATTCTCGACGACTGAATTAGTCTATCGGGTCTGAACCTGCCGGTTCACGACTTGCAAGACGTCGTGTTTGCTTTAACGCTCCTTTAGAAAAGGTTACGCACGGTAGGCCTCACCCTCTCCTGGCATGATTCACTTGTGGGAATCAGACAAGTCGCCCAAGAGCATAAGATGGGAGGCATTACGAAACCAGGTATTTTTAACTCTCCATAAACGTGCCAGACAGGCTATTACCTAGGACACGGGATTAGGGATCCCGGTTTTGCAGGTTACTTACCGTTGGGATATGAGTTAGGGTTGAAGCCAGGACACGTTAGGATACAGCGCGAGACTACCTGTAATACGGGAGGTCGATATTTCCGTGTCTGACTGCTATTTGTTCTTCCGTAAAAAAACGAAACTACATGCGCAACTGCTTATATCAATGAGGTATATAACCCCAGGGACAAGAAACCTTTCTTTTCGTGTCAAGAGGTCCACGGTTGAAATTCCGACTCTCTATGGTCTGTGACTAGGGCACATATGTCACACTGTGCGTGGTACAGCTTCTGGTTTACTGACTACTCTAGACCGAGACTGTAAATGGGAAACCTTCATTCCATGTCGAATGTAACCCAGTAAGTTCTCCGCGAAAAACAAAATGCCTTCTAACGCATTTAGGCATAGAATGCGCTAGATTAAAGAGGATAGTTGCCTGACCTACCCTTCGTCCTCATGCAACTTCTCCCAAAGTGTCTGGAAAAGAGGTAAGCAGTGTAAGGGTGTTCATGGAAAAGAGGGACTCACGCATTCCACCTCCTGCTCCTCCTATACCTCGCTCCAGCTCCTCCCTATCCCAGGAAACTAGTATACGCCTCGCGTACAGTTCATTCTTTGAAGTTTCTCTTCCGGCAGGCCAGAACATTCGGCTTCCATGAATTATTTGCTAAGTGGCCCTCAACGGATTCTGCGAAAAATATACGCGAGCAAATGGTGCGAACTTAGTTGTGCACTTCAGTTTGATGAGCTTGATCGTGTGCTGGAGAGGCTGTCAAGTGGGGCAGCACTAACCGCCTGAATAAAAACCTCCGCTTTTTGTGAGAACCACTAAAATTACCTACAGTCACACACAAAAGAAACTTTGGTAAACTATTCCTCTATTATATATATATGAACCATCTTGTCGGCGCTTAATGGGGAGCTGTCTTAACCGGAGAGACTAGTGTAATTTGGCTTAACTGTCTGTTTTTTAATTTATTTTTGTCAAATTTAGGGCTTTTGCCGATTTTTCTTAACGTTTAAATGACTATAAAGCCACGAAGTTGCTTTGGAGATGTTGACCCACTTTTGCCGCCTACGTACTATATGGATTAGAGTGACTCCTAAGGGTTGATTGATTGTATTCACCAGCAGCTCACCTTTTTTCTGTTTATATTAATGGATTTTGCAAAAATAAATCAAAATTATGTCGAAAAAAGGCAGATTTAAAGGATCCTATAAACAGTCACTGAGATATGAACAAAATTCTGTTTACAGTCATAACAAGATTTCCCCTCTAAAGTGACGGCGAATATGTTAGGGTAAAGAATGGACAAAAATTGCGTCAAAATATAATGTACTATTTAAAATTCATATCACTTATACGAATGCAATATATAACTCGTCATATATACCATCCAACGTACATGTGCATACAATACTTTACGCAATTTGGTGTACAATACGCAAATTAATGGCGATTTCGGTGAACTCGCGGTAGGGGACCGACTCGTTCCGCTATGCCTTGGGGTCGAGCATTGTCGACCATTCTCTCTGCATACATTACTAGTCGCCGAACGACCGCCCACGGGGGTCTAGCTCGAGCCTCAAAGCACAACAGAGTAAGTAGACCCCGTAACGCCATCCATACGGATATAGAAAGTGTCCACTTTATTTAAAGAACAAGAGAGCAACTGTTTGATGTTCAAAAGCCAAATTGCACCAAGTGTTAACTATTATAACATAATCTTAGGATTATCTGTCCCCTGGACAAAAAGATTTTCCCAACTCATAATGTTGTGAGTCCGCAAAGCATAAACTGTCTGGAGTTTTTTTTTTAATAATTTCATGAGACTTCGAAATTTGTGCAAAAAGGTTCTTCTCTGAGTGCGAACTCATGTCAATTTACTGGAAAATAATAACCGCCACAGAAACCCTTTTAATATATGTATTTTTCAGGACAGTATACAGCGACGACTGCGGTTTTAATCAAAATGTGAACATATGCCGCGGACTGTCTGTAATACCCTTCCGAATTAGTTTGCTTTATATTACAGTAGGTTAACTTACCCATAAAATGGACACACATAAACGAAAAAACCTAACCAAGCTGAAACCAGCACGGGTGCGTCTATCAAAACATCAAACTAGCAATGGACGACCTCTAGGTAATTTAAAAGACAAAACAAGTACTAAAAGTGCTATTTTGTTGATAAAAAAACTCCTTTTAAAAAAAGAAATTTTGAAAACGCAATCATTTGTACGTGTTAGAAAACTCGAGTTTTATAAGTACTTAATGCTCGTCCACACAAAAACTCAGTGAATAAAGCACTATAGGTACAGTAATCTTTAAAGGAATATATTTTTTACATATTGTCACTAAACAAACTAAGAGAATTAATGTTATATGAAGTCTGGCACAAAGTCAAGTACGTAATGTCGGATGATGTTTTTTACGGTCTTATACGTCGAAATTGGTGTATTTTGTCCGTTTTCATATTGTTAGAGAAACGGTCAAGTAAAGCAAAGGGAATTTGGCTTGATATTACTGATGTCGCCGCACTGAAATGCTTTGAGAATTTTTCGTACCCTTTCTGACTTTGCCATACTGTGTTCTCTTTCTAGATCAGAGGGCAAATGAAGCCCTCTAGCAACGCAAAATGACTTCCTTCGCGAAGGCCTGCGTTGATCTGTCCAATAACTTAAAACATCTGCGCTTCTCCAACAAAATCTCCGTCCCCCACCAGGAGATTATGCAGCATTCTTCCGCAACTGTGGCCATGTCCGGTCCTCTTTCTGTTGTCTTTGCAAGTTTCTCCGAACACGACCTAGGTGCCGCAGCCGCCCTTGGCGCCGTGAAGGAACTAGAGTATGAGAACGAGGAAGAGTTTGACTCCCTTTATCGAGAGGCTGCCGATGTCCACTCTGGAGCCTACACCAATCACACCTTCGCTTCGGATCCCCTCCTTTCTATGAATAGATCACGTTCAACTCGCAGCAAGAAGACGCCCAAAACACGCACTGACTCCAAGGAAATCCCCAGTGGCACCAGGAGACAGCAGCAGCCGGTGGAGTCTCCAGTTAGAGGGCCTGCAATCTCAGAGCCAACTCTTACGAGGCCAGTGGCAAAGATTCCAGCCCAAGAACAACAGCCCCCAGTTCCCCAGAAATCTAATCTGGAGGAAGCTCGGGAAGAAAGTAATCCCCTGTCTAACGGAAAGAAGTCAATTCACATCTCCCTGCGCATGTCGGAGTTACGCAGTCGATACATGAACTCCTGCCGACAGGGCACTGCCGCTGAGCGGAGTCGTAGTGCCTCCTTCGGCCAGGCGAGCTCAGCAGATTCGCCGCTGATCCGTCGGCGGGGAACCTCAGTGGCTGCCATCAAACAGCGTCTCTTCAGCCAGGGCATGAAAATTGACCCAGTTCCATCCGAAACCAGCCGCCCGAGAAGCACTCGGTACCGCGACTTCATGAGACGCCGGCGTCGCACAAATTGCGCCTGGTCCCTCGCATCTCTCTGGCAGCACGAAAAGACTCTTAAGTGTCTATTCGTCTACCTTCGGGGACGAGACCTGTTGAACTGTTCCCTCGTCTGTCGCCGCTGGTTGGCTACCCTCGTCTCCTGTGGCTACTTGGGCCGTTTAGGCATACGTCTAGATTTGCAAGAAATGTGTCGTGACCTAACAGTTGAAAGTCTTCCCGCATCGGCTGCTCTGGAAGCCCGTCTGGAGGACCGTCTGAAGGCACTCTACCGTCGTCATCTCACACAAATTAGACTGATACTCGCCAAGGATGATCATATGGTGTGTTTTATGAATGCCTTTGCCGCCACCTTCCGGGAATTCTTTCCCGAGTGCTTCGGTAGTTCCATCTTCTCCAGCGGCACACATCCTATCTTCTCTCAGGAATCCAGCCGTCTTCGTCTTCTGGAGGGTAGTTTTACTTCGTCAGTGGTCAGCGCAACAGTCGGCACCGCAGCCTTCCAATCCGCGCCTGAGTTGGTTCCCGCCTGCAAACCCAGCGTCACCACTGACACCACCTTGAGTCTTGAAGTCTCCACGAACAACATCCAAGTGAACTGCCATTTCTGTCCCACGAAGACGGCCGCCGAGCCTGCAGGAAGTCCGAGCGATAGTTTAAACTCCTCCGACATCAGCTGCGACAGTGTATTCGATGCTGCTGCTGCTGCCGGCAGTCTGAGCTCTTTTGGCGCCCCCCGGCTGGGCAGGGTACAGAGAGCAGCCCTCAGATTTGGTGGGGGTCTCACCTTTGAAAATCGATTTTCCACCACTCACTGGCCAGCAGGTGCAGCTGGCCCTCCCCTTTCAGCAAGTGCGCCTAGCCAATTGCCTCAGAGTCGCACTCGACATGTGGTGGAGCTCATTCTGGACAATTGCTGCCTAACAGACAGGAGCTTGAAGCAACTGAGCCTTGTGGTGCATACGGTAACTCACTTGAGCCTCATCAGTTGCAACGACCTTACGGAGATGGCCCTCTGGTCTTGTCTTCGTCCCTGGATCACAAACTTCAGCGTCTACGATTGTATTAATTTTTCTGACGAGAGTCTTAGTGCGGTTCTTCAGTTACTGCCTAGCCTACAAGAGCTCAGTATTCAGGCTTATCACGTGAGTGACTTGGGACTGACGTACTTCACGAACCTTCAGCGGCAGAATTTGCGCAGGCTAAAGCTAGAGCACTGTTTGGAATTAACCAATCATGGGATGCTCAATCTGGTAAGCGCGTTGCCGCATCTGCAACATCTTAGTTTGGCCGGCTGTTCTAAACTCTCTGATGATGCTGTGGATACTCTCTGTGAGGGCATGAGGCAGCTACGGAGTCTGGACCTCTCCTACATCTCAAAACTCACCGACTCGGGCTTGGAGTGCGTTGCCTGTGATTTGCTCAACCTCGAGACCCTCATTCTTGATAGGTTAGTTCCGCCCTTAAATATCTGAGATGCCTGGTGCATCCTCAAGCAATCTTCTAGTTTGCTGTGTTTGTTTGGGTCGCTTCGGGGAGCTTGTCTCTCCAGTACGCTTGAACTATGCGCACATTGCATTTAGACAGACGGTATATCATCATTTGAATTATTCTCTTCATTATGACAACCTCAATGGCAGGGCTATTGATACTCAGGCTGTCATGCTCATAGCATGCGCTGGACCTCGCGACGCATACAATTCATTTCCTGACTATGCTATCCATCTGAAATTATTTCACAGGACAGTCGACAATCCGAGAAATAGACCTAAACATACCCAAAAATCACATAATATTACATATAAATTGAGAGGTTGTCTTTCCCAGGATGACCTCCTCACTGCTGATCTGATCCTGAGAACTCGACTGCCTATAGTTTCTGGCCTATCTCATGAAATGCTAGTCAAAATTATGGACATTTCTCGATCAGAAAGGATTATTTGGTTTGCGTTATAATATTACTTCTCATGCAACATAATCCCAAAATATTTCAGTCACACACTTATGCCCGTTTTAAAGGTCTTTTTTGACTGCCTGTAAAAATTCGCACGCACTGAAATTGTCTACTTAGGTCTTGGGAATTGTTTCGAGTAACGTTTGATAGCCTTTTTGGCAAGAGTATGGTTTATGGCTAAATTTACTCACATCAGGGAGCATTTGTGTTGCGCAAAGGAGCTATGCATCTAAGAACTTCGTGGTATCACAAATTTCGGTCTTCAACTTTGTCGCCATTTAAAAATATGGCGCTATTTTTACCACCTAATTGTAAACGTAGATGAATTTAATGCTCGTTTGCTGACATTATCAAAAGGGTACTGCATTGTCGTATTTTTCCTCCGATGGCCACCTTAACGCATCTTGACCACCCTCACAGGACAGCCACCGCAAGGCCTTTTTATTTCTTCTTCTGACACATACAAATAAATATCACCAGTTATTTTTCTTTAGCACAATTGCTCCCCGGAGTAAGTAACCCCGATCATAAACCATATGCTTGCGCCCTTTTTATTTCAAATATATTTTTCAGAAACCGCGCAAAGAAGTTGTATTTCCTGTACTCATTTGATAGTCAACCACATCTTCCTGAAAGTTTTTACTCGAAAAAGGGGATATTTAGGTTTCTAAAAAGTTCTTTTAGTTCCACTAAGTTTGAATACAATCCGCTGTTGCCTTTGCATCTAGGGTGTACGATCAGCAAATCGTATGCTCTCTGTATAACAAAAAATCTTACACCTTTTAATGCCACTAAGAAGATCATGTGTAGAGCTTATTGAACTTTGAAATTGATGTCGACTATTTTATATTCTTCATAATTATCACCCCTAGACGGACGGATGTTATGTTATTTGATTTTCATAATTAAAAACCCTCCTTAAGCCAAGAAGTGCCCTTTTCGTGCACGAAATTTGAAGAACACGTAATCGGCTACTATTTGAGTGCAGGAAATTTATTTCTGTGCATGATTTCCATAAAATATATTCAAATTTATGAGATCATCGAAAATCAATTGGCGAACGCCCATACTACTTAAGCGGTCGCCGATCGCAGGGACAAAATAGTTTTGCAAATTAACTATACGGAATATTCACCCATGCTTTCAGTCTCTCCAATAGATTTATGTGAAATATATTGCAGTCAAGTCTCAAAGAACAGTTGAAAAACTGCAACACTGTGTGGGGGACGTTGATAGATTGTTCTTACATATACAGTTGTGGACGCAATATATAACAACAGATTAAAACAACCGACTGCTTTATACGACAACATCATGGAATACATCTCAGACGTAAAAGAGTACACAGGCGTGGTCTGAGCACAGAAAAGTCCGCAGGCTACCATGAAGGTGCGGCATTCAACAAGCGATTGCGCTGGTTGCACAGTCAATGGTCTCCTTCTCCATAGTACTGGGCCTTCCAAGCAAATCGACAGACCGAACATCTTTGTCTAGAAGGTGACTCAAAACAGCACATTTGGAGCGAGTTTGGACGGTTTTCAGTGATTGCCCTAAAAATGACCTTCTCAGCTTTCTGTGGCCAAATGGCTTTGCATGCGTGCCAGGCGTACTTCCATTCGCAATAATGTGTACTGTCACTGAAAGGGACATAGCGAATAGTGTCAGCAACTGCACTTCCTTACCGCTTTCGGTCAGGGTAAAATATCCTGTCTAGTGAGCAAATTGTACGTGAGCATGATCTATCTACATGACTATGAAACTCCTTCTCGCAGGTCATGGTGTGTGAAGTAGCCCATCATAATGTCTTAGCGCTTTTCAATCTTGTCAATGAATATCAAAACCTTTAGCACAGGCATAGAGATTCGGCGCACTGATTCAGAATGTCCGAATTTTCTAGTAATCGGGAAGAATTTGTTCTTTGGACGACTTGGTTTTATTTAACTGCAAATCCTATAAGCAGTTTTGTTTCCATCTTAAACTTGCTGAGTGCACACAGATGTTTGGTTCGTTTACAGTTTAGCCTTCCTGAGCAGCTGTCTATGGCTTCCAGCTATAAACACACCTATAAACAAAGCCACAATCTGCCAGCTATACCGCAGGTGACTCGATGTGTAAAAATTGGTAATCCACTTAAGAGTGCGAGTGATCTGTCGCCCACCCGGACTCTCCTTAGCTGGCGACTACAAAGCACAGTAGCACATGCAGAACACTGTGCCACTGGAGGTAGAGCTCTGGTGATGGACGCAGACGCCTCAATGATCAAAAGGATTGTTGATGCTATTACTTTTGTCCGTTTAAAGCATGCGTTACGGCACGGTAGCCCTGTGAAGGAAATAAACAGCAAATTGAAGGACATTGGATTATGGAGTAAAAAACTGCCTTTAGAGTAGAGCCGAGAAACAACTAGAAGCTGTCGCAAGTTCGTCATCACTCCTCAGTTACGGTCGGACTTCAAATTTACATATAATTTTAAAAATGCTGCTCTCATGAAAATTGTTTTATATTTAGTGTATCAAAATACCTCCAAGACCCGAGCATAATTCATAGCGTTGACAATTTCCGTTAGCTTATTATGATTTCGTCACTTCCATCATGCTGATAGAACCCCTCAGAAGTGTAAATGTATGTTCATTAAGTTACTATTGGTCACATATTTTATTTCTCATATCGATGGATCGTCTGATCCTCTAGACTCCTAGAGGCCTCCAGTCTTTCTGATCTCAACTGTTGGACCTTTGCCATTTTCCCAATAAGAAACTTGAATGAGCACACAAAAGTTGTTACCTATCGCAAAGATTTTGTGTAAAAAATGTTGCAATCTGCAATTCTTCACTGCGCTTTACGGGGAGTACTGAGGTAGTATGGTTACTCTACTTTCTCACTTTAAACTTGGATACCTTTTGTTTTTCCGGATGTAAGCAAAGGCTTTTCGAATATATTTTGCATCGATTTACGTTTCTGAAGAACGTATTGATTTTTATTCCTTTTGGAATGCCGCTATGTTAAAACGTGGTACCAACCAAGACATCTAAGTTTGAGTTCTTACCCTGCAATCAGGTCTAATTCCGATATTATTCTGGAATAAAAATAGGGAACACGGTGTTTCCATAAACGAAAGATACTATAGACTTATTGTCTTGTTCAGTAATACGGGCTTAAACAAATGTTCCATAATAAAGGTTTTTTTATCAGCAAAGGTCGATGAACAGTTTCGAAATCAGACCTATCTCGCAAGTCGTGATCGTTTGACCGACAACCTAATTTGCATTGTTTTTAAATTTGTGCGTTGTTACAGCCTACGCAATCGATAGTAAAAGAATAAACCTGGCGATCCGTTTCTGGTTGAGATCCCTTTAAAATGACAGTTAGGTGGGAATTTTGTGGCTTCTTTTCTGATGCTGCCATTGGACGCACTTCCATTATCTGAGTATTCAGCAAGAAATATAAGGCTCGAGTACTTCTTCAAATGAGTATATTGCAAGGAAGTAAAATTTAGTTTAGCCAAGATTCCACTAAATGTTAGGGTTTTCCATCATCAGCAAGATACTACATTTCTTCGGAAAACACATTTTATCACTTATTAGAGTCCAACGCACTTGGTTTCTGCGAAACCCCGTTGTGGTCAACGGACGTGCTTTTGCATACAGAAAGGTTTACAAAAAGGGCATTCAGCGTTTTGTGCTATTTAATCCCTAGCTAACAGCGTTCTCAAAATAGTGGAAGGGAGGTTACCGTACAGACAGACAGGCGGCTTTGGAGACATAAACAGAAAATCTTTCCCACACAGCTTAATGTGGCCGGCCATCGGAAGTTACAGGGCACCTGCCGAATTTTTTTAAAAATCGACCGAAAATGGAAGGAAAAATTAATAGCCGCGGAACGTACTTGTGACCCACTTCCGCCATGGTGCAACGACACCACACTGGTTATATTTAGGACCGACTAAAGCGGCTCGACTCACTACAACAGTGCTTTATTTTAATGTAATAGAGGCTGGAGTAAGTGTTGTTGATTACGTCGCCGTTTAGACCCTAACTCCATCGTCATGCGCTCTGCTGTTAAGTACTATGCCCATTATCTCGTCGAATTCGATCAGAAACTGTAATTAACACGGAATGAATGGTCACAGACTTGAATTTAATAGGGGACATGCTAGGTCTTTTGTGCTTTGGGGCTTCAGGCTAGAGCGACGTACAGTGTTGCGTGGGAAACGCCAACAAAAACAGTGAGATTGACATCCCTCCTGCATCCTTAGCTGTCGCCGTGTGACTCCCTGCGACGATTCCGGATAGAAATTTCAACGAAAATTAGGTTAATCACGTTTCGCGCCTCACCTCCATTTGACTTTCATTTTTATTTTTGTTGTGGATGTTTCATGGTTGATCCTCTATCCTATAAAAGATCGACAACAATTTTATAGAATTACGTGGCGGGAAATCATGCTATCTGCCGACTTAGGAACTGTAACCTTGGGATATTTTGGTCATTTATGCACTCAGTAATTCTTCAATTTAAAAACACTTTCAAATACGTTCTAGGCATTTGGTTTACCTGGCACTTACGTTCCCAGTAGCATTTTTTCCTCCTATTTTCATCTTTCCATTTCTACTCATCGTAATTTTACACTCTTTGTGTAAGTATTCTTAGTTTTGAGGAGGACTAATAAACGGCGAGCTGCGCAGTATGAATGCATTTCCCAGTTAGCGTAAAAATCACAGGCTTTTTTCGAATCAAAACTTACTGTATTTATATCGTTACGAGTAGATCAGTCGGAATTTATTACAAAGATTCACACAGGTACGTTTTTTACGCCAGTCCCTCCCAGAATAATTAGCTAACGATCCCTATTTCTCAAAAGCCGCAAGAAAAAGACGGATGCTTCCTACGTAATTATGTTCTGAGCGAGACTTCTTTGGTGCAAAATTAATTCTTATGCAAAGTTGTACGCCTCGCTATTCGAAGCAGATTCAAGTTCGGTGATAGGTTTTTCGGCATTTCAATCTAAATTCAATACTTTTTTACTTGACAGCAAATTGGAGGACTGTAGAGGGCATTTTATGGTTTTTCGTGCTTTTTGCAGTCGTGTTTATTTCAGGATTAGACAGTGACTTATCTGTACGTATGGTTTTTTTTCTTGGAATACTTGTAGATGCCCTCTCATAACCGAGCTTGGAATACGTCACATATCTACCCTGCCAAGACTCCAAGTTCTCACACTCCGATGGTGCCTCGGTCTTCGAGATGACGCCATTTCATGCTTGGTTCAGCTGAAAGAATTACGATACCTCAGCATAGCTGGTAAGCATTTGTTCAGCCCCTAGTCCCCGCTGTTCAAAGGATCGCCAAATTACTTGCCTCTGGCGCACAGGCAATACTTAGCTGTTTTGGAGTTCCCAATGGGATAGAGATGAGCGTCTTACAGACTGCTAGTCATCGCCACTGGTTTACAACATTCCTTATATTAATTAGGGGAAATTCAGCGACTTTGGGTGTATCCTGCGAAGGCAGTCCGTTCTGGTAAAAGCGTTGTTTTTTCTAGAATTTGAAATATAAATGTGTGAAAAGATGCATTGTTCGTGCAGTAATCGGGGAAAATAGCAGAGTACATGTTATTTCTTGCCTGGGTAAGTAATGGGCGTTCCACTTGCGAAGAGGATTTCAAGTGGAATAACAGTCCATGACTGAGAAGTATTAACTTCGTGACAGGGACATTTAAACTTCCATTTCCGGCATAGTTCCCTTTATCGACGCCTCGCAAACTGCACATCTGAGATTAAAAGTTTTGCACCAAACCCCGCCGTCATCACTGCGTTAGAAGTCCTCCTCGTTAAGGCTGAGCTTGGGAATACTCAGTTGAAAAGGAGTTGAGTTTATCGACTTGTCTTTGCTGTAGGTTGGAAAGTTACCTTTCCGTTTTGTCGTGGAACTTAGAATTTACGGGCCAAGTAGGCTATGACATCGTGGCTGGCATGATCCGGAGATTTAACTCCAAGATCTGCACTGATTAATTTCTGAAATTATTCACCTGATTATTCTCTGGAGTTCATATACCGGAAACCGCTAGAGAACGCTGGGGGTCCCACTGAAGAACCGAACCCCTCGCACCTGTGTCACGCAGCGGCAAAACACGTGTCTGGGCTTTTAGCAAGTATCTATGTCGGGAGTACGGTATAATACCTTTATCATAGTACTTATCATTTGCCAAACCAACCAGTAATTTGTATAACATGAGCACATGTCAATCAGTGAAGTGTCCTCCTAATTTATAGTGCTTAGAACGAGGCGACAAACTCTTCAGTGGTGGGTCAGGAGATCACGATTCTGCACCCTGTGAAGTTTTTACCAGCTAATTACTCTGAAACTGTTAGATGATTGTTAGCGCAGTGCACTTTCGCTTGGAAGACCCCCATTTGGATTACTACTATACATTCGCCTCTTTTCTAAGATACCGTTTCCTTAGGTTTATCAGGTGATCACGGGAATAAGTACCTTCATGTATTGCAGACGTAATCGCGCCACATTCCAGTGGGGCATCTGTCCCCTTGTTCTAAATTCGACCCTGGACCATAGAGTTAACCCTATCACTAACCCTAATTCTGACACCTGGAATTTAGCGTGAAGCCATCTGAAATAAGGAGGGCTACTAATTCCCTTTCCTGATCGACTTATCCATGTCGTCTGTTACGAGCATTGAGATATAAATATGCGGTCGGATCTCATTTTGTAGCCGCATCTGCACTAGACAAGCGCCAGCCACATGTCATACGAGATCGGTGTTTATATGGGGTTTGACGCTGGCCCCTAGCCACTAACCGTCACACTAACCCCTAAGTATGGTCCCAACCCCCGACACTAGCCTCTAACCCTAACCTAAACCCTAACCCTAGCCCCCAGCTCCTAAACCCTAACGGATGTGGCTACGAAATATGATCTTACCGAATATCGGTCTTCAGCTCCCAGGGAAAATGTGGCAGTGAACTTTGTGAAATTTGTCAAAATGAACCATATCCTGCATCTTCCCTCCCCTGCTTCCTCGGAATGGTAATTTACCACTTTAGGTTTTAAACCCGACTTGAGCCTCCACGGATAATACATCTAATGGCCGTCATCAAGTGGAAGGGACAACAACTGGCCCGCACTTTTTTTCAGGAGTTATTGATAGTGTTGAAAATATCATTTACTAAATTATGCACAAAAATTAGTTTAATCCTCTTTTTGGTTTTTGTTTACACACACATCCGCGCAAAAAGGCGTTCCTGTGTTTGAAAAACTTTTTAAGAGTAATATGTTTCTGTTAAAACTTCGTTGATTCTCCTGGTAAATATGTCAAGCGTTGCGTTTAAAACAGACTGAAACGTGTGCGATTCCCCTTTAGGCATCAAATAAACTGTATTTGATGTCGGCTACTGATATCTCTGTGTGCTTTGAACTACGTAGACTTAATTAAAAATAAATGCAAACACGCATCAGAATGAACTCGGATGTTATGAATCCAAAATAATTTTATCACCCCTGTTTTTGTTATAGGTGGGCTGACATTCAAGTTTTATAGTAAGGAGAACTTGGAAAAAAACTACCATCCAACACTCAGTGGTCTCTCGTTAAACGACTGATTGCGCTTTGATTCTCGGATTTTATGTCAGGACATTCACGGTGCAGGTCAATGTTGTTGATATTATAGTGATAACTTCGAGCAACTCAGACGTCTCTTTGCAAATTTAAGCACTGTTTTAAAGCTTTTGATGCAAATCCCTTACAAAGTATTTGAGTTCTCGGTGGTTTCATGAACATGGCCTGTCTTTCCATAGGCAGTTCAACACCGAGAATTTAAAGGATTGCTACCCTGACGAACATAACAACTAAACGAGTTATGCGGTATTTCGGAGGGAAGTTCGTGTTCATTTATCTCTATGAATATCACCGAAATGAGGGGGAAATATATGAATTTTCATTAAGCATACAAATCCCACAATAGGGCGTTTATTAAACTAGTTAATCTGACTGTAAGTTGGGCGAATATAAATCTGGAGAAAAAGGTACTACACAAATGCAGGTTATTCCTCTGAAAAAAAAACAAATGACCTGGTCTTGTATAGGAGTGAAGTAGGAAAAAACTACAAACACTGCGTTCCAGTTAAAAAACGACGTTCAATCTTATTAAGGGACAGCGATTTTTCCCGAAAATCTCAAAAACACGAAGTGTGATGTAAAAAAGAAACGGAAAACGGCCAGCAACTCCATTATCTCTGACATTGTAGACAGTAATCACCTCCTGAGTCGCATTGACTGCCGGAAGTCATTATAGCAACGCCAACTAGTAGTTGCAGAAGTAATCCACTTACAGAACTCTTTTTTTATCCACAAGGGAATTTTGCGCAGATTGCAGTGTTTCGTAGCCGAAAGCTCCCTCAACTCCCCGAATTTAGGTCGGCGCATGATATTTTTCCCCAGTAATGTGTACTTTTCCTCAAGTCTTGTCGGACTGCCCTCTACTTTCTTTGAAACTTCCCACAAACTGATTGCATTTAAGGCACTTATCATTTTCGTCTTCCTAAGCTTCGTCACAGAGTCTAATCCCTCATATAAGTACAATGACCTGAATGGGAATTATCAACGTTGCATGTCTTGTTAACTTGCCTTGCACGTCATCAATACTAGCAGAAGGATAGTTTAAACATGGAGGTCACTTATTGAGCGTTGGGGGCGGTTATAAAAGTTGTAGGTATATGCAAAACAGCAGTCTACCACGTATGAAGTACGCCTACCGTGAGAGCCCAAGAACCAAAAAGAGGGGGGCTGGAAACATCGTCAGACCAAGTATATCTTTTCGGTAGAAGTCTCAAGAACTTATCCCAAACACAAGATGACCAAATAAAAATCCATAGACACGGTTGCAGAAAAATTATTTGGCGGCAGAACACACGATTCGACCATCGCGAACAACAATGTCCCTTGTGTTTCCCACAGCATGTCGGGCGCGAGGTAGCGACTTGCACGGGAATTACAGAGTGACCGGTCTCATGAAATGTTGTCTGAAATTCTGAAATGCGATTTCGATTAGGAAGGATAGCTTAGTTGAGGTTGTAACACTGATTATCTTGCGGCATTATCCTATAATATTTCGGACTCTGCAAGATATCAGCTTTGAATACACTGCTTTTCAGTCTCCTGCAGAAACCGCACCCGGTAAAAAATTACTACTTACGTAGCATACATTTTCCCATTGATTTTCAACGGTCTTGAAACTTTAAACATATCCTACAGAAACCATAAACAAAAATAGGCTTTCTTCCACCCGTGTGACAGAGAATTACGTCATCCTTATATTCTAGCTTCGAATATGAAGTATAATTGAGTTTTAAAAAAGTTTTCTAACTGCCGATTAATTTGGAATCAGATCATTCGTTGCATTAGCGCTTAGGGATTGCAGTCTACAAGGTGCACGCGTTCCGCGTAAAGAGTCTATAAAACTTTGCAATAGATGCGGACTGTGTTTTACATTTCATGGGAAGCAGTGTTAGACGGACAGATACGATGCTATTGCGCGGTCTTAAAACATCTCACAGTTAGAAACTTTTTAAAACCTAATTATACTCTTTCTTTTGCACCAGTCCGCTGTTAGAGCCGATGCATGGCTTAGGTAGGGGGGAGTCAGATCTATTCGGCGCACTTCCTCAAACCGATCAAAAAGCAAAAAAAAGTGAATAAGCGCGAACAAGAAACCTGAATATCGAAAACAGAATTCAGTAATGGACTTGTGGAATTATCCTAGTCATACCAAGTCCTGCATCACTACTTGAACAGGGCCGGTCAGCATCGAGGGGACACAAACGCCCCAGTCACTACTAGCATTCAAAATAGTCCGGTTAACACATGCGTAAGCGACGAAGCGGTGGAGGATCTATTAGCGTTTACGGATGTGAACCAACCGTACACTGGCGTAATTACCAGCCCAAACAACCCAGCAGTGACCGCCAGCACAGGTGGGCCCCTCACATACTGACACATTTATCCATTGTCCTGGTGAAATTAAAATGAGCACACCGTAGATGTCACTCTCGGAGTGGACTGCTGGCGCGTGTAAGAAAGTAAATGTGTTACCGTTCTAGAATTACTGTTAATAACTACTCCTTCAACTAAATCGTGCTGCCTCTGTTTAGCAGCCTCCACTCAAGGCCTGTCCTGAGAGAATGTTTCAATATTTTAAACGCAGAAGTCATTTTGCAGCCAGCTGAGAGAGGGGTTTGCGATAGGTAGTGGCATTGTGTAAAAAACATCTAGCTCGACTGACCAAGGTACTATTGGTTATTTTTAGGAGACTAGTTCAGCCAAATTGGCTCCCAGAAGGAAGGCATATCTCTCTGAGCTTTTTAGAGTTGCTTTATTGTACATTATTTATGCTTATAGGAGAAATGAGCACATTATAGTAGTGCACCTCTCAGCTCTACTGAGTAAGGTGCCGAATATACACCTTGTTTCTGACTGGCTATGGTGGCTGAATAAGATGACGGTCGTTGGCGAGCAGCGAAATAAAGTGTGAAACCAACACCTTGCAGCCCCCTTCCCATTGATTTTCCCCTGATTCAGTTTCACACGCCCGAGCAGTCTCTTCCGCTTGAATGGAAGAATTCATCGGTTGCAACTGACTTTACCTTTACTATCATGGAGAGTATTCAAACCTGATGTCGTCTTTATTTCCCCTAGATTCTGATCGAGAGCTTGGGTAGCTTACGAGTGAACTTACGTGTAGACATACACTGATTTCTCCTGTACCCTCTTGAGTGTGTGTGAATGAGCGAATTCGGGCAACAGGCTCGTTTGCCTAGGTGACTAATGCGTGGGCTGAGTCAGTGCACTGTCTGGAGCTGAAGTGAGATAGCGTGACTAGTTTATTGCTTCAACTGTTGCTGTTGCCGCTGCTGCTGTTGCTGCTGCTGCTGCTGCTGCTTCTGCTGCTGCTGCTGCTGCTGCTGCTACTGCTGCTGCTGCTGCTGCTGCTGCTGCTGCTGCTGCTGTTGCTGCTGCTGCTGCTGCTGCTGCTGCTGCTGCTGCTGCTGCTGCTGCTGCTGCTGCTGCTGCTGCTGCTGCTGCTGCTGCTGCTGCTGCTGCTGCTGCTGCTGCTGCTGCTGCTGCTGCTGCTGCTGCTGCTGCTGCTGCTGCTGCTGCTGCTGCTGCTGTTCATCCTTTGCCCGAAGCAGAAGTGACGCGCGGAGTCACGGTAAATGAGCGTATGAAATAAGTCGGTATTAGCGTCCACCTAGTCATCCTCTGGTGGTCGTGTGGGTTTTGTCAGTTTTTCGGCCGACCACTTTTCTGCTTCTGTCCTATTCAGCCCTAAAAGGCATCGCCTCCCTAGCCAGTCGGCCCGCAGAGTCGGTTTCAGTATGCTTCCCTCACCGACCCGAATGCCTTTTGGCAGCTACCAACTACAATGTCGGCTATAATTTCCTCTTCATCACATCCTTCTTGGTGGATCTGATCAGACCTGATTCAATTTCAGTAGCTCCTTAGTTAATTGCTATAGGATGGAAATCCAGGGACACGCATTATTCTGAAACCCACGAAGTGTTTGTTGAAGTTTACTTGCTTTCAGACGGAAAGTGCCTCTTAGGTATGGATGCAAAACTGATTAGGCGTGAATATACCTCACTTTTACCTCTAACCAGCATTCTGTTGGCATCTAACGGAGCGCTTCTGTTGGAACCTCAGGGAAAACGTCGCTCAGTATACAATGCGCATCTTTCTAGAACCTTAATCTAATATAACTGTGTGTGCCAACATTCAATTTTATGTCTGTTCTCTGCAAACATGGCAGGTAACACAACGGAGTGTTTCAAATCCAAAAATTCCTGCAAATTTCCGCCAATGTTGAAACACCATCTATGCCCACTGTGTATTTTCCTCCTTTCTCTTATTGAACCTAGCAATCATTGTTTTGCGTGCCTTGAGAAAGAGGCGCCCGGTGGTCAGTGTCTATTCTGTGGCATATTTTGTGGGCAGCATTACTAAACGTGAAAATAAAGGGCTGCACGAACACGCATGCGAGAGTTCCAAACTCTCCAATTATAGCCAACTTTCCAAAATCAAGTTGTTTCGTCTCTTTAGGTCAAACATTCATAAAGTAAATTTCCCATACAATTATTTAAAGAAAGGACTCGAAATTAGAAAGCCGTCCATCGTTTTCTCCGGATTACAGGATGAGAATTAGCGTTTCGTTTCACCCTGGCGCTTCAGATCCAAATCCTGCGATTGTGGCCGCATAGCAACCATCAGTCATGACCCCAAGGGAACGTTACTGACGGAGGTTGGGATTTCATGGATGACTATTTATGACTTACAGTAGATGTGCTAACTCATGAAAGATCAACCAAAATTTCGAAATGCGTTCTCGTTTCGAAAAGATAAATAAAGTAGTGTTGTAAAACTAATCATGATGCAGCATAAATCTATAATGATCCAGTTACCTCAGGGTTTCGGCTTTCGAAAGAACTTATTTTCGGCTGCGTGCAAGATCTATACTCTGCAAAAAATGACTAGTTATGTAGCATGCAATTTTCTCATTGATTTTCGATGACCTTGAAAATTCAATTGTATTTCATGGAAAACATGCATAAACATATTCATTCTTTTACTTATTCGGTAGAAAATGACGTCTTCTTCCAAGTTCATACTCAAAAGAAGAGTATAATTCGGTTTTAAAATACTTTTCTAACTTCCGAATAATTTTGAACCCGACCTGTTGTTACACTTGCATTCAGGGTTTCAAAACTACAAGCTGTATATTTTCCGTATACGGAAAACCATGAATTTCTCTACGGTGTAAAGAGGAAACCATATGAAGTTTATAAAATTAAGCAGTGCATTTGAGCAATATTGTTAACTTTACAAGCCACATTCGTAAATGCAGATGCATGTCGTTTCATGAACGGCCATTTAACGATTTTAAAAAATCCCTCAATCAGAAACTTTTTTAAAACTGAATTATACTCTTCTTTTGAGTATTAAATTGGAAGAAGACGTGATTTTCTACCGAATAAGTAAAATAATAAATATTTGTACGCATGTTTTCCATGAAATATAATTGCATTTTCAAGGGCATTGAAAATCAATGAGAAAATTGCATGCTACATAACTAGTCATTTTTTGCAGAGTATAGATCTTGCATGCAGCCGAAAATAAGTTCTTTCGAAAGCCGACGCCCTGAGGTAACTGGATCATTATAGATTTATGCTGCATCGTGATTAGTTTTACAACACTACTTAATTTATCTTTTCGAAACGAGAACGCATTTCGAAATTTTGGTTGACATTTCATGAGTTTGCGCATCTACTGTACTTTCCTCTATTAGACAAGTGTATTTCGACCCAAAGAGGCCCAGTGGGTTCTTTAACCTGCTGAGTATCACGCCATGACCTTGTATTTTGACTGTGTAAGTCTGACAAATCCGTTTTTCCCACTGTATTTGTATTGATTTTTCTTGTTATAGATTGTTCAAATTTCAGTTTGTTTACTTGTTTACGCCTGTCATTAACTCATTTGTTCATTTGCACTGAAATGCACACTGATCAAAAAAACCCGTTACCCACTGACCGACATTTTCGCTAGCGTTTCCGGTCGAAGGACTTAATTCCAATGTGCTTTCAGCACCAATTAGGATGCAGCGTATTGTCAAGCTATTCCACATGCGCCAAAATGTTGGTTTGTAGTTCAGCGTTCCTCCAGTTATCAGTACATGGGTAACATTGCCAAGGACAATTAATTATGCAATCTCCATTCATGCTGCTAACTGCCAAACACTGCGCAAAACCAAACATATTTTATGGAATGTATGTAGATGAATCCATTTTACGCTACATTTTGCAGAAGGCTGTGTAACCTTGAAGGCACATATTTTGACGAGGGGTAACTTCGGATTTCTAATTTTTTATTAATTTCAGTTTTAGTCTAAACCAAAACTGACACTGCATTTGCTTAACACGTTGCTTGCACGTCATCAGGTAAAATTATGCATCGCTTTAAGCCCTCTAAAAGAGCTCACACAGTGCTCTTCACATTTGCATATATGTGCCTATATATGCGTACATGGGCCACAGTAGATCATTCGGAATCAGTTTTGAAAACGTGAAGGTATGAAAAGTCGGGTCAGCATCAAACAAATTCTGCAATTATTAGGCCTTCGTGAGGTTCGCCATCTACTCTACGTGCATGTTGCTTGGGCACATTTTCTCCGTCTGTAAGGGTATTCGAGGTTCACCCAAGTAATCCGTTTAGAGAGCTTAGTAGACCTTCACATTCCCGGTTCTTCTAGCATGCGCTGAAACTCGTGCTCCGTCGACCAAACTCATTTGTTTCTTTACCGAATTGATTGGTTGAGCCTACTTGCCATATTCAAGAGCGCAACACATTATCCAACATTCCGCCTTCTTACTAGGAGTCTCTCAATTTGCTTGTATACTCCATTAATAAACTTTTGGTCATTGTCGGCTTTCGAATGAACTGCCTTCCGGCTATATGCAAAAACTACTTTCTTTAAAAAACGACTACCTATTTAGCATGAATTTTCCTCATTGATTTTCTATGCCCCTAAATGTCCAATTATATTTCATGGCAAACATGCATAAAAATATTGATTCTTTTGCTCATTCGGTAGAAGATTACGTCCTCTTCTAATTTTATACTCGAAGGAGGGAGATAATTCGGTTTTAAAAAACATTTCCAACTACCAAATAATTTCGAACTTGCTCTACCGTTACACTTGGATTAAGGGATTTCAAATTACAAGCCGCATATTTTCCGCGTACGGAAAACCACACATTTCTCTATGGTAATAAAGGGGAACTATATAGGGTTCATAAAATGTAGCAGTAGATTTAATTCATATTGCTAACTTGACAAGCCACATTGGTAAATACAGAGACATGACGATTGATGAACGGCCATTTCACGGTATTTAAAAGATCCACAAAATTATTCGGGAATTGGAAAAGTTTTTTTAAAACCGAATTATGCTCTTCCTTCGAGTATAAGATTTGAAGAAGACGTAATTGTCTACCAAATGAACAAAAGGATGAATATTTGTTTGCATGTTTTAATGAAATATACAGTTAGTGACCTAACTCATGAAATGTGCCGAAATTTGCGAACGATTGTCAATCACTCGCAAACCGACACCATCTCATGAGTCCGATTTCTATGTTAATGAAGTACAAGTTTAAAAGAATTAAAAACATAAAAGAAATATTAAAGGCAGTGGTGCGTTGTTTAGAAATGCCGATTTGTTTTGAAAATCGCAATAAGCCGAAAACGTTAGCATTGGCTCTTATTAAGTAAAGTTCGTTTTTTGAATGTATAAAATGTATTCTCTGCCAAAATCATATAAGATATGAAGTTGGGCTTAAAATAACGTCTTATAACATTGTTTGATTGAAGTTTGCATCTGCATTTGCCAATGTGACTTGTAAATTTTACAATATGAATCAAATCTACTGCTACATTTTATGAACCCTATATAGTTCCCCTTTATTACCATAGAGAAATGTGTGGTTTTCCGTGCGCGGAAAATATACGGCTTGTAATTTGAAAACCCTAACTCCAAGTGTAACGATAGAGTGCGTTCGAAATTATTCGGTAGTTGGAAATGTTTTTTAAAACCGAATTATGTCCCTCCTTTAAGTATAAAATTAGAAGAGGACGTAATCTTCTACCGAATGAGCAAAAGAATCAATATTTTTACGCATGTTTGCCATGAAATATAATTGGACATTTAGGGGCATAGAAAATCAATGAGGAAAATTCATGCTAAATAAATAGTCGTTTTTTAAAGAGTGTAGTTTTTGCATATAGCCGGAAGGCAGTTCATTCGAAAGCCGGCATCCTACCATAACTGAAATATTGTAAAATTATGCTGCATGGTGATTGGTTTTCCAACCCTACTGAATTGGTCTTTTTGAAACGAAAACGCATTTTGGAATTTCGTTTGACATTCCATGAGTAAGCCCACCTACTGTACCTAGTTTCGGCAGTCAGTGCGTTGAATCCCACCTTCTGTCTTCGGGACATTTTCTCGCCACCGGAGCCTAGTAGGTAAGAGAGAAGAGTGTGCTATGGATGTTGTGTAAGTCTGGCCGAATACTCTGTGGGCCACAGGGTGGCCGTCGTCATTTGCAACGGTAGAACCGTCATCCTATGTGCGTGTTTATCACTAGCTGGCAGACAGATTCGGACGGGTCAAAGGGCATGGGAAAACGTAGAGGAAGTGGAGCCGGGTAATGCTGCGGCACATCTCCTCGTGGCAACTCAACACACTCGTAAATGTAACAGACTGGATGCGCACTAACTGCTAGTAGTCATCGTCCGCAAGGTTCCCAACTGACAGAGTAACTCGGCTCCTTTTCGGACTGAAGGTTAGAATGTAACTGTTCCCTCTCATTCTAGCCTTTATGAGCTTCTCATTAATGTGAATTACGGGTCCTCATCCAAGTCCACTATATGTGCATTTAGTTGACACGTTGTGTGTTGTTCGCGCAGATCGGTTGTTAAGCCTTCTCCTTCACTGCATCCCTGCCCAACTTCAGTCCTCTTGCGGTTCAGTCTGGAGGGTGGGCCTGGGAAGGGAAACTGGATCTGCTTCACCGCAAAAAAATTCACGCGCACGTCACCAATGCCGCCCTTCGGCGTTCATACCGGACCCGCTCGCTTGCGGCAGATGAACCATCGTAGGCGTGTGTGTGTGCGTGTGTATGCACAGACAGTCTGACCCAAATTCGGGCCAGGGATCGTCTGCTTGCAGGTTCATGCAGCAAAACCCTAACTACGCTAGAGTTTGAAGTTCAGTCATCGGAGCTTAAGACGCAGAGTAATAAAGATGTTCAATAGGGCTGGGGGTGACCTCAAATGGTGCAGTCCTTTTCAGTGTGACCTAGGACTGACTGCTGCAAAACAACCTTACAGTGTTGCCCGAGGTTGGACGCAAACCAGTCCCTGACAATTACTCGCCCGGTCCTGAAAATTCGTTAAAAAAATTTAAATTTTCGTCAAAATAGCAAAAATCAAAGCTACTACAAACATAAAATTTTGTGACAAATAATGTGCATTTTTGGAAACGACGAACAAATTGGCCACACTGACTTTGTTTGGAATTTTACGAGCCTGATACGGCATCTGTACAATCATTCCCCATAGAATGTACGATTCTTCACGCATGCAACAACACGATGGTGAATAATTTTAGAAATTTTCACAGGTTAAACGGATGCTGGCAGACTAGACTCGATGGACGCTGGATAGCCAAAAATACACTAGAGGGTAAAAATGGGGTGTAGGACACACAAGTGGATGGCAACTCCAAAAATATACCCCAAACACCAGCGTCAATGTAAACATCACTTGTTATTCACTGTTCCCATTGATTGAAATTCCTTACCCTTCCCGACTAAATGAAGACTTCCCGGAGGCGCTTTATTCAAAGTCCGCTACTTCTTGGAAGTTTATTTTTTCCTTGTCTCGCTCACCTTTGCCAAATGTCAGCGTACAATAAGACCTTCGGCAGAAATTTATCTTCATTCCATGTCTTATTGTTCTCCGTCCTGTTTGCTGCCCCAACCGTAAAACCCCCTCTGCCACCACTCAGCGTATGACACGGCCCTCTAGCTAGCTCAATTTGGCTGGAGCCCTACACCCTATTGTTGCCCACAAGAGAACTTTAAAATAATTGCATTGTCTTTTCGCTCTAAGTTGGGGATCTGAACTGATATAACAGTGGCTCACACGTCAAGAGAACATTGAAAGAAGGTCTGTTTACTGGAAAGTCACTTAGGTGCCCATGTTGTAATGCAAATATGTCAAATGATTTCGGTTTCTATTAAATAAAAGCAAAATTTTCTTAAACAAAATTTCGAGGCAGACAATTAACTGGCACGTGGCGTAGGCCGTTAGCGAACCTTTCAATCGACACCTAAGTCATTAATACGTTATTTTCTTCGTGGGCCAGTATGAACAGTAAATATAGCTCCAGTCACCATAGTTGCCTGACAGATGTTCTACTGTAGCTGCGCAAAGCAAGGAACTATGCATTTGCCGTGATAGAGGCTTAATGTTTAATTTATGTCATGATAGCCAGGTAGGAAATCAAGCATTTTTTGAATGGCAAATCGTGGGCTTGCCTAACTTTGCACCTAGAGCCACGACTATCATAAGTGTAGGACCATTTAGACATGCTGTAATGGCAAAAAAATCTTATCCAGAACCTAATCCTCTCCTCTTACCGGCTTTATTATATTCTAGGGTGCAAGGGCCTCACAGCTGACAGCACTATGACCTTAGGACTGCTGAAAACGCTTCGTCGCCTGGAAATCACCAACAGCCCAGTCTCAAAGAATTCCACGAAGGCTGTTCTTCAGAGTCAACTGCCGGAATGCAAGATCATCGATTAGGCCGGTGTCGGGAAATTTTTATGAAGATCAATATCCTCACCACCGTCCAGCTCCTCTCCTCTGGCCCTTCGGCACAAGCTCTCTGCAACCGTATACCGTCGACCGACTGAGTGTCTTTCGTTAATTGTACACATAAACGCCCACGCACAGATACGTTCAGCCACGCCACGCTTGATCTCCTCTGACGTAACCCTTGCTACATACGTCCTTACACTATTCAACTGTATATTTGAGACCTATAAACTTATTCATAATTTAAGTAAAGCAGGTCGCAGATCGTCTGAAAGTAAATATTCGTGTCCCAGTAACCAATTTCAAAGAATAAGTGAAGGCAAACCAATACATTTTGGTCTCGAGGAAGAAGGGTTAGTTTTCTGATAGTTCTGGCCTCTACGAGGATTCATCATCGGAGAATTAATAAGATGCGAAATAAACACATATACTAGTAGGATATATTCACATCAAAATAGTTCGTGAAGGCTTTGCCGTTGCTTTTTTGCTTCATAACGTTAAGGAAAGTAATTTTTATCAACGCTCTGCGATTGTTAAAAAATCGATATTAAAACTGAGTCATTGTTCGGCCTGTGCAATGAAGTCAGTGAAATAATGATTTCGGACGCGATGGAACACGAAAAAAGAACAACCGAAACATTTGTGAGAATTTGAGAAATAGGACACGCCAGGGTAAAATGATATTAGCCGGGTGATTATTTTCATGTATAAGCCAGGCTTTTTCCCGGAAAGTAGGCTGCATGCGAACTATGTGCTACCTGGGCTTCTGATGTTGAAACAGAGATTATGAAGGATAATTTTAAGTCAACTTTCTGGCGGATATCTAACAAATTCTTCTTGGTAGAAGATCGGGAGGCTTGTGTTCTGATTCTGAAAGGTGTTTACGAATGTTTACAATTTTCCAGGAAGACGTTTGCCTTTTTTTCGCACAATACACTCACATCCACAAGTACATGTGAATCCATGAACACAGTTCGGCTTGGAAGACGAAGTGGTAATCATGAAATGAACCTCATTTGTTGAACCTCATTTATTGAAATACGGTGCGTTACTTAGTTCATTAGGGATGTCGAAATTTGCAAATGATTGTCAATCACTCGCAAACCGACACAAATGCGTGGACCCGACATCTATGTTAATAAAAAACAATTGTAGGAAAATTAAAAACATAAAAGAAATGTTTGAGGTAGGAATGCCAAGATTTTTTTAATGCGGAGAATCCTACAGACGTCAAAATGATTGTAATTACGTAAACTTCCTTTTTCGATGTACTGGAAGCCTATCCATGCAAAATACTGAGTGAATATGACATCACAAATAGAATAACCTTTGAAAGTAATCTTTTAGTGAAGTTTACAGTTAAATATCCCTTAAGAATTAGAGTAATTTCAGGTATGGCAGTTTGCCAACAGCCTCCAAAACGGTTTCCCGAGGACTCGTTGTATTTTCTACGCTTTTGAATTGATTGAGATGCAGTTCAGCAAGGCAAACAGGATTTTGCTTGATTTTGCCGATAGGGACGTCATACGCATAGACGGATTCATAAGGGCACATGTTGCCAGGCGGGTCAGTGACTAATAAATTTAAATAAAAACGACAGTTGTAATCGTAAACATACCATTTTGTGTATATCGTTAGGTCTGTTTTCCGTGAAATTAATTTGCGCTTTTCTTTATTTTGAATTAAGTTGATTTTCAAATCAGTCTTTAAATATTACTGAACAATTCATGATTCTTCAAGTTTCCCGTCGATCGCCTATGAAGACAGATTCTGTATAATGCTTTGTAAAAATGCTTAAAATAGGACGTATTTTGAGGGTACTTGCCGAAGTAGAGAATGTTTAGAAGTTCATATGGGTCACATTTTAAGACTAACCCAAGCATGAAACCCCATCGTCAAATAAAATGAACGTCCAAAACAATAGTCAGCATCTGACATGACTTCGATCAATTAGAAAACGTTTAGCAATAAGTTGCCTCTCTAAGGACGGTCTTAATACTGCACTCAGTTGACTGAATTCTGTGTACTTTGCATTTGTGCTTAGTGAAGCCAAGACAAAATCTGACACTTTTTGCCGTTTCTTTCACGATGCTAAAAAAAATTCCTATATTTTTCTAGTGAAAACGTAAGAGCATGCCTCTCCATTTATACTGCGTCCGTTTTCGTTATGTTTTCTCACTTTCAATCCACGTTCTGCGATTATTAATGCACGGCGTGGTGGTCACAAATACTGGAATTTCGCGGAAACCGTTAATGTTCTGCTCGTTCCATTTCTAACTTACATATTTACAGAAGATAAGCTGCGAGAAAAGTAATGTTCTATATGTTCACAATTGAAGGTGACTATTCGATAGTAGTGGCTGTGGTGAAAAAAACATAGAATTTTCTCAACAGCAAACAGTTTCGGCCCACTAAAGCGAAGGCTTGCCTTTGTACATTACTACTGAACTTTCAGGCGCCGAATCGCACAGAACTGTTAATATGCCTTCTGGAAATTGGTGAAATGTCCGGTTCTCTTCAAATAACCTATGGGTTAGCAAACTGATTCCCACGCTAAGCAGTAGACAAAAAAATCAATTTTCAAGTGCTGTAAGCTCCGTTTATTAAGACCTTCGGGGAAAATTACCCTACCGCCGGAGAAAAACACGTTCAGTTGCTCAACCTATGTCTGGGTCAGGTACTGGCATAGAAAATAGCCTGAATATATCGTAGCGTTCATTCTCGCACAAATTTATTCACATTTTCTTTGACGAAAATTATGTGGACATATTCCCTGCAAAAGAAAAGGACATTTCCTTGAGGAGGCTAGACAAGCGAGAAAAGTGCGCTTGCTTTAAGACGTTCGAAGATTCTCACATCAATCGCTGTCATCAGGTCTCATGAGACAGGTCAGCTACTGGATGCAACGTTGAGTAATACTCATGTTTTGTTGTTGCAACACCAAGTGGTAGGATGCGGGTACTAACATGTGAGGCGAGAAACTCCAAATTCTTGCGCTAAGGAAGGCGTGGCCATACAACTAACCAACCCAAACTTGTGCTCACCGAATGCGTTTGTTCAAGAGCCCGAACTCCCCTTGCTAGAGTTAGGTCCTACATGTGACCGTATATGCATGGACTTCAAAGGGCACGCCGATTGTGCACTTTTCAAATCTTAAGAACGAGGGAGAGCGCGAGATGTTTAAAAACGAACCGAATTTAACTGTCTTTCTGAAAACCGGAGTAATTAATGAATATTTGTTATAAAATACAGCTGAATTCTGCCGAGTCATAAAAAGTCATTCGGTTAAGTAAACCCTGTTGAAGGATATATTTTCTTTTCAAGCATTCAATTTACAGAGTCGACTGATAGGGTGTTCAGTCAAAATCTAGGTTGATGCTGCACAGGACTGAACTTCTGATTGTTTACTGTGCGTCATTTGTGAAACAGACGCCTTAGAGTTTCGGTTAACATGTGGCGGCAGCCATTATGACCGTCTGACGTCATTGTTCAAGACCTCGTTGCCTCAAGGTCATCCACCCTTTTGCAATGAGCCGCTCCAGACGCATTTACCTGAAGTTACACTTTCGACGCCGCATTCTATTCCAATTCTTTTGTCTGGATGACAATGAGCCTATTTAACGGACGCGTTCGTCCTACTCAGCATTCACTGGGATATACTGTGTCCAAAACGTTCCTCTGGCTCATACCAACCTGCCCACCCACCGGCACACGTTGAGTAGACCACGCCAGCACATCCATGGCTGATGCCTCAACTGCGCCTCTGTACAGGTCGCAGCACCCCCATCGTACGCCGACCGAGCCACTCCTGTCATCATCGACATACGCTCTCAGACCCGCATGCACACTGGATACTTTCACGCATTTCATCGTCTGCCTCACGATCGACACTATCACTTCGTTCTGTGTTTGGCGGGGAGCTGTAGCGGGCAGCCATCATGACCGATCTGGCGTCATTGTTCAAGACCTCGTTGCCTCAAGGTCATCCACCCTTTTGCAGTAAGCGTTCCAGACGCGCTGACCTGAAGTCACACGACCGGCAGCTCAGGCACACCAGCGTACGCACAGCCGCAGCCGCCCATGCGGACACTTGAACGCACCTTTCCCCTGCAACCACAACCTAGGCCACTGGGACAGCACCCCTCGGCAAATGCAGCACACACCGATTGGAGACTACTTGAGCTTGGTCCACGAGCCTACAACAGTGGCTGCCACCATTGCCTCAGGGACTCGCAGGCCTAGCTGGACGCAGTCAACACCAGCCCTGGTTTCTCCAGTGGCCACTGCCGCCTGGGAGAACAACTCCGGGTTCTGTATACATTAAACCCATCATCCTGGTGCCTTCCGTCTTCTCCCCCCAACCTGGGATTTGACCTGGTGGTTGTAGCGCTCAGAGCACTTACCCTGGCCACCCAGTCGTTAAAAACACTTTGCGGATATTGGCCCACTTCATCTGAAATACTAACTATTCAGTATCATTACTTGCGGTAGCTTACAGGCAAACGGTTGGTTAGATTTTGACGAACCGTAGTGGCTGGAACCAAAATGGCATGATGTCGAGCGATTAAGCTGCACTAGTGAGGCCAGTGGGATGCAGATATCAATGGCCTCACCTGGCGCCCAGGCCTCGTATTTGATTCCATGAGGCTGCGCCGGGCGCGGCAGTTTTGCCCCTCTAAGTGCTTTGACGTTTCAAAAAGCGAACCGCATTGTTGTTCTGGACTAGGGCTTGGGTTAGGTCAGCCACTACAGTCTTTCTCATCCCCAGGTGGACTTGACTGGAACTTGTTCTGAGAGAAGCGAAAGAGTGAAACCGACCCATCGCCGCAAACAAAACAGGCGCCTTTTCAATCTGTTGTGACATGCCGAGAGTATGACTCGCTCTGAGTCCGGACTAATCGTCAGACTACATGGTCGTGGATGGATTTGACGCAGGGACCCAGAATGATAAACTATTTCTAAGTACCTCTGAGTTCTGTTCCAGATCTTTCTAAAGTGCAATTTAAAGAAGCAGTATTTCCCTTTTAAACCAAAACAAAATCCACGACCAATAAACGACTCATACAGTTAGCCCCCTATTGACGAGTGGATCCGAATGCTAGGCTGGATGACACTCTTTTCCGGGATCCCATTATCTATTATAAAATCGGGTTGATGAATCAACACTTCCGTGTATGTATGAGTGAAATCTTCGACAATCCGGTCGAGGAAGGATGAATAGCGTAACTGGATGATGTGAGATAATGCTTGTGTCAAGATTTCCTTGCGGTTAGAACAGGCACGCAATCCAGAGAGTTACCGGTCAAATTCAGCAGATTCCGCTGTATGCATGCAAGTCTGTCTGACACATTACTTAAGTAATCCTTGTCATTCAAAACGGCTTATCTCTATGTCTCAATGGTCTCTGTGTGTGCCTCAAGTATAAAGCCCATGGTAATGGTAAAACACACTACTTGGACATAAATTTGATTGCACACCAATCACCAAGTTGCGTTAGTCTCCAATTCATCCGCAGTGAATGTGGCCGTTAGTGGCTTCGCGCAGTGAAGCATGGGTTTCTTGACCCCTGCGGCGAGAAGCAGCTGGCGGCGGATATCAACTGATTCGCCTCCAGATGCCCACCTACTACGTTTAAAAAGCATATATACCTGACTAACTTTAAAATGACGAAAACTTGTTTTAAATCGTCTTTCTCTTCCCTACTTCACCTAATCTTGAGTCCACGCCAGACTACAGATTGTAAAGCATGCGCTGTGGACAACTCGTGTTCAAGCGGCATTATTATTCTGTTTTTTCGAAGCGAACTGGCACCTACAATGCTTAGCCGTCTTCCTAATCCGTATTCAGTAGTTTCTGCGGACGTCCATCCGTTCAGCGGAAACTTTTGATGGAAAAATCTATGCTGAAGGGAGAAGCTCTCAACTTTCCTTGGCGCGTGTTAGGAGAGATTTGCATCATTGATTCATTGGGCATCCTATTCTGCCCACCCAAAGTTGCCTACTAGGATAGCTGCCTTCTCTCTGCACGTTTACTGCAGCTGATGTTGGCGCGTAGAAATCAACAACGGCTGTGAAAGCAGCAGTAGCATACATACACACAAATGCGCTTCCCGTTAATTTCGGTTCCTGAAGTAGGTTAATACTTGGTCTGATCACCCAGGGCGGCTGCACCACCGTCCCAATCAGATTTCAGGGAAACGCAACTGCGGCAGAAGGGGAAGTCGGTGTCGGCGGTTAGCACACCTCGGAGGAGCAGGCGCCGTCCAGCTTGTGCCCTCGCTGTTGGTGGAATAGACGAATTTATACATTCAGTAATGCGATTCACTGACCGCGAGATCCGCTGCCACAGTGGGAAAAGTTTGGAGTAGTTTACTGGAGCTATCATCGGGCTCAAAGACCTGCTCTTCCACATTCGATAGGAAGGCGCTGTCTGGGCTGCTTACTTGAGTTGGCGGAGAGCAACGCGGGCAAATGCTGCTTCCCGCGTCTGTATAGCTAAGTCAGATAGCCGAGTAATCATCGTGCCAATAATCATCATTGGTCGTGACTTTGCGTCAGTTAACAAATTGGATGCCAGCGACCGGACAATTATTGCACTAGTTCCTGCGATGAGTGCTCGTCCTGTAGTCAATGTCGCTGATTTAAATCATGAAAGGTTAACCGTAATTCCAAAGTACACATTGGATTAGAAAGGATTACATAAATTCGATTACAAAAAAAGATAACTACGCAGCATAATCCCATAATATTTCAGAAAAGCCAGGTTGTTGTCTTTTGATTGTACTTCTTTTCAACCACCTGTAGAAGCTGCACTAAACAAAATGACTGCTTAACCAGTATGCACATATTCGATTGATTTTCAACGTCCCCTGAAAATTCAAATGCACATTCAGACAAGCATGCACATCATACTCCTCATACATATTTGGCAGAAAGTCACTTCTTCGGAGTTTATATTCGAAGGAGGGTGTCTTTATGTTTTAAAAATTTTTCAACTTCCGAATAAGTTTGGCCACTATCTCTGACTGAAATTGTGTTTACGGTTATTAGTTCATAATGTGCATCCTTTATGTGTAAGGGAAATTAATCATTCCCATATGCCACTAAGAAGATACAGTAGATGCTCTAACTCACGAAACGTTAGCCAAAATCCTGCAATGCGTTTTCGACTCGAAAAGATTACTTAAGTCGGTTTGTAATATGGATTACCGTTCAGCCTAACCCCTAGACATTTCAGTTACTTCGGGATGTCAAATTTTGAACAAACTTCTTTCCAGCCGACTGCAAAAGACTATACTATGTAAAAATGTCTGCTAATTAATATTAATTTCTATCATTGATTTTTGATGTCCTTATAAATGCAAATATATTTCATGGGAAGAATGCACAGAAATATTCACTTTTTCGCTCGATTGGTATACATTTTTGTCTTCTTCAAATTTTATACTTGAAGGAAGGGCATAATTCGATTTTAAAAACCTTTAATTTATGGATAATTTTGAACCGTACCAACCATACACTTGCATTCAGGGTTTTCGAATTACGAGCTTTATGTTTTCTGTGTACAGAAAATTATACATTTTTATACACTATTAGGTGGAGATCACATGCGGTTCATAAAATTTAACAGTAGATATAAGCCATATTGTAGACTTTACAAGCAAAATTGATAAATGCGGGCATTTCGCGGTCCAAAAAATCTCATAATTAGAAGCTTAAAACCGAATTATACCAAATGAGTGAAAAATGAATACCCTTTGGCGTGTTTTTTAGAAATACATTCGAATTTGTAAGGGCATCAGAAATCAGTGATAAAAATTCTTATAACTTAAGTAGCCATTTGTTACAGAGTATAGTTTTCGCAGCCAGCCTGAAAGGAGTTTGTTCAAAAGCCGGCATCCCGAAATAGCTGAAACATTCTGGGATTCTGCTGCACAGTAATTAATACTACAACTCTACCTAAGTAATCTTTTCAAGTCAAAAGCGCATTTCAGAATGTCGGTTAACGTTTAGCGGGTACGCAAATTTACTGTACTCTGTAGGACAGCCATTCGCGTAGGAAACTGCCACCGAGCAAGAAAAATAGGATTTCCGCTAAAGTTGGCAAACATCTTAATTGATAAAATTGCTTAAAGACATTCTTCTGTCCTCACTATCGTGGGTTTGGATCCTGCTAGGGCAGTCAAAGCTTTCACGACTGGATCAAATGTAAAAGGAATGTATCGCATTAAAAGAACATTTTTCGAAACCGGCTTGACAAATAAAAAAAATGTGAACATCTAGACGCCCAAAATTGATCGTCTATCTTTCCGCCAGCATGTCTTATGAATCTCGTCACATACTGTACTTTCCGTGTAAAGAAAATCATGCATTCATGTACGCTATAAAAAAAGATACCAAAAAGGCTCATAAAAGTTTGCGATGAATATGTACTACCTTGTATACTTCATTAGGCGCGTCAATAAACGAACGTCCGCAATGCTATTTGGATGGACATTGCAGGGTCAGAAAAATTTCATAATCAGAAACTTTCCACAACATGGAGTTAATCTTTCTTCCAGAACTAAGTTTAGTGGATGTGTGATTTGTCATTAACTGAGCACAAGAAGGAATATTTTGTCCAAGTTTTAAGTAAAACATATTTAAACTTGTAAGGGAACTAAAAACCAATAGAAAAATGTATACTACTGTTTACCGAGTGCACTTTTTCAGGCGGCCGAAAAGAATCGCATCCAGAAGCCGGTACCCTGTCATGACTGAATTATGCAGGTATTATGCTGAACAATAATTGTTATTATTTCAAACCCACATCACCTCAGTTCACTCCGCAGTCTGGGGAGGTCGTCTTGGGTATTTATCATCTGGTACCCTAGCTAGGAACCGCAGGCTTTGAGTGACGCAAAACTCTTCGACTTCTCCATGATTCGAACTTTTTAAC